TTACAGTGACACCTACAGGCCAGCGGGCGGGGGGGGGAGGTGTTCCACAGACAGGTTAAATGCAGGGGGGTCTACAGAGACTCTGGTAATCCCGTGACTTCCCCCAAGGGGATTAAGAAAAGCTGCAATCAAAAACTAGAATGTTTAATTTTCTAATGCTCTTGAACTTTAACCAATAATTGAATATGCTAAACTCATTAAGAAAAAAACGCCGCGCTCACCAATCACCAATCAGCTTTTATTTATTGCAAATGTCAAACCACTGTTGTTTGGCGGGAGCACATTTTCCTTTTGTCTCTTCGAGCGTAAATGTCGTAAACAATCAGTGAAAATTTGACACCAACTCAACACCTGAACCAGCAGCTCAGAAATGTCAGCTTTGTTCTGGTCCTGGGTTTGTCCGGGGCTGCGTTCTCTTTGTGTCTATTTCCAACTGTTTGAAACGTGTTCATTACAAAAAAGACTTTTATTTTGGAAAATGTCACAAATTTAAAATGTGTTCAAATGTTTTCCTTCCTTTCTAACGTAGCAGTAGTTCATTGTTACGCGTTAACGCGGTGCCATTAGCGTTTGGCTAAAAGCACCGCTGTGTCCAATTAGGTCTTTATTGTACCGTTAGCAGAGCGCTGGATGTTTTTTTTTTTTTACAAATTGACTTGAGTTCTGAGATCATAATAATAATAACTGACAACAAATTCAATAACCAAACATTCAAACACACATTCACACAAACACGGATCGGAATCGGAAAAAAGTTAATATCGGACATCCCTAAATATAAACATATTTTGTTTAGGATTTGGGATAAAAATTATTGTTCACCCTAAAGTGTACGTTGATTATTGTTCATCCTAAAGTGTACGTTACGTTAAGTTCGTCAGTGTTTACACCAAACTGAGGCTGCGACAGTCGTGTTAAACTTAGTTAAATAGAACCTAGTGGGCTAGCGGAGAGTTGCGTGCGTTCTTCACACCTTATTATCTCGGGATATTAATGAAAAAATAATAAATAACAGCCTGAAATTCACACCCGCGATCAGTAACTAGATAAAAATAAAAACGGCTCTGTTTCATCATTAGTAACAACAGAGGAATCTTCATCGTGGTGGAATACGCTGAGCCCGTTTAACGCAGTGATCAAAGAGAGGCGCCCTTTATTTATGTCTGCCATTAGGGTGCGCCGCTCCGACTGGGCCGCTCCGCCGGTTAAACACACTGTACCGGGTAATCATGCTAATGATGCTGCCTCTTACAGTAATGGCAGCAGTGCATCATGGGCTTCACGCCGCGCTGCCGATGCCCTCAGTGACATCGTTCACGACCGGCCGTAAAACCACGTACTGTACGCACCGTATAACTGTCCGCTGGTTCCCAACCTCCGGGACCCGGACCAGTGTGTCGAAAACGTCACTTTTTGAGGTCGTAGTTTATAACTGGTTGATGTGGACCAGGTGTGGACCAGGTGTGGACCAGGACTTCACTTGGTAAAGCTGTAAACTTTCTGTACGCAGTTTAGAAAGTTACCTTATATGTTTGGAGGTTTTTTTTCCCCCCATATTTGAAAACAGTGATCATCAAATGGTGGCACGTGGGCCAAATCCAGTCCGCCAAATTAGCCAAACCGGCCCACGACTGGATTCCAAAATAAACACCAAATAATGATGTTTTGATAATGAAGTTTTTCACCCCACCCCCAGGTGTTTTTAGGTTTATTTTACACTCTACAACAGCGCTTCTCAAAGTGGGGCGCGGGGCCCAACGATGGGAAAAGGAGATACGATTGATGGGACGTAACAATCTGGAGGAAATATTTAAGATTCAAGTGATGAATTTTTAAAAAAATCTTTAGGTTTGAGGGGGGACAGGTGGAGGTTAAAAAACTTCATTTCATCAAAGTCGGAAACGTCCAAAAACGTTTGGGAACCACTGACCAAAGGTCCTAGAGTGAGTGTTGGGAGACATTTGAGGACTGTCCAGGGGGCCACGCCCCCCCCATTTGTTGACTACAGGGATTGACTTCATCTCCATCCATATCCCTAAAGTCTGTCCCTAAACTGTCGGAGACCTTTGACCTTAATGTTTTTATGCCGTCGAACACCAGTAGCAACAAAAGAACGACCGCGTCTTCCCGCGTCCTTCTCAGACACTTTTCTTTTGGTCAAAGTTTGCGAGTTTTCGTGACTGTTTTTGTTCTACGACGATGATTCTGAGAGTTCACTGGGTCACAGAAGGACACCAGCTATAATAAGACTGAGAACCAGAGGACTTTAATCATGTCCCTGGCCCGCGGCGTCTTCAGGTAAGACAATTACACCTATAATCTATTTCAAACTCACGGAGACTCAGTCTGTGCTATTAACGTTATTATCTCTGAGCTCCTAATGAAGCTGTGAACACACACACGCCGACTGGTGACGGGACATGTCTGGGGGGACCGTGTAGATGTGTGTGTGTGTGTGTGAAAGTCAATATTGAAACCTGGGCAGGAGTATGAACCTTTTGCACATTGGTTCAGACAACATTAATAGCGTTCCAAATGTGAGAGAGAAATTGAGTTTGCCGCAGGATGAATAAATGAAAAAAAAAAAAAAACCACAACGGGAAGGTCTCTATAATTACTTGGATTCAATTAAGGGCTTTTTGAGCAGGTAGCTTAATAAGCTTTCAGCCTCCTCTCTCCACCGTGCAGCCTAATGAGTGTCACTCAGAGTCAGGCCAAGATAAGGCTCGTGGCCTCCAGGTCTTCCATTACTCCCTGGTTCTCACCTTTTACCGTCTGGCCTCCAGGGGGCCTCAGTGACACACATGTCGTACTGTTCACAAACTCAATCAGTCCCTGGCACCCACCACTACCACCACCACCCACCACCACCCACTCCACCCACCCAGTTCACTCACATCATTGAACATGTGGAGTACGTTTTAAAAACGTGGATAAAAAAGATGGTTTTTTTTTTTTTAATTATTATTATTATTTTGATCAAATGTCGGTGCATTTTAAGATTTTTACTCAGTGATTTTTCTATTGTCAAATTAAAACCTCATTAATCCGGTGCTTTATTAAAATATTCACAACAAAGTTCACTTTAAAAAACAGACCAACGTCTATTTGAACAACAATTTTTCAGTCTCTGATTTCTACAGAGATGTAAAATCAGGATAATCTTTTTTTTCTTTTTTTTTTTTTAAAAAGAAAAGTGAAACATGATGGTTTTTAAGGGAATCCCAATTCTCATTTTGAAATAAAACGCAGTCATTAACTGCCTTCCCCATGTTTGACCAGTCGTTCTATTAACGAGTCACTGCTGCTGCTCAAACAGATTTTCATTTCATCGCATTTTCCTAAATGTGTCATTTGGAAGAGAAAAGTTTAATCCTTTAATTTTTTTTTTTTTTTTTTTTGCTGAAATCCTTCTTGTTTCTACCCTGACAAAGAAAAAGAGAATGACGACGTTTGAAGAAAGATCACTACAAAAAAAAAAAAAAACGACAAACCTCCTCACTGCTAGGTGGAGTTAGTTCGTAGGATCAAACTCACGATATTATCGGCCCGATATTAGCGTATTGTAAGAATATCGCTAAAAATCGTTATCGTTTTTTCCTCCGATAATGAAAACCCGATAACGCAACGCCTGGGTTTGGCCAAATGATGTTTGACCTAAAAATAGTTTGGGGGAAAAACGGCTGTATATTCAAGTGAAAGTCACTAGATGGCAGCATTGCAACTTAATTAATTCATCTCGTACAGTGGTTCGTACAGATATCGGTATCGCCTATATCGCTGTCGGTTGATATAGAAATCAGAAATTAAGCATTTCGGTATATCGGATATCAGCAAAAAATTTATATCGGACATCCCTAGCTGTTTTGCATCGTGCTGCCTTCAGGTCCCGCCTTCTTCCGGCCACGACTGAGCTGTTCAATAAAAGCAGACGTCAAATAACGAGAACAAATGACTGCAACCGTTTTCCTTAAACACCCGTTGAGAAGCTAACACGCTGTTCAGAACCGTCGTAAAAATGTCAGACTGAAGTCACGTGTCGAGACCCGACCGTACGAGCGTTTCTGTGAATGAGTAACTCTGACTCTGACGTTGAGGCGCTGGAGCTGGAGCTTCGTTAAACGATCCATGTGCTCTGCGTGGGCGTCAGTCCATTTGTGTGTGTGTGTGTGTGTGTGTGTGTGTGCGTGCAGGGTTGTATCGCAGCGTGAGAAAATCAATGGCGGTGTTACAGGGAGCACTCCCTCAGTCTTCTGCACACATGTTCTCGTCCCAGAATATCGATGTGCTCTTTAGGAGCCGTCCTCTCCGTCGGTGTCACAGTCCATCCATCTGCACACCCTTTCCAACCACACACACACACACACACACTCTCTCTCTCTCTCTCTCTCGGGCTGTAAACAATTCAGCGCCAACTCTTCATTTCTACAGTCATCACAGAGGCTCACGCCGCATTCCTCCACGTCCAACCATTTTAACGAGGCCGTTCGTTCGTCCACGCGTCTTATTTTGGATCTTTTCACATCATTAATATCTGTTTCTCCTTCCAACATGTTAATCCACGTTGAAGGGATTACTGTATATCCAGTGGTTCTCAAAGTGAGGGGCTACCCCTCAAGATCTACCACTGCAACAACGCTGCCTCACAGGGGACATTTTTGGACAAACACCACAGTTTGTCCATGCAGGAAACTCTTCACCAAGAGAGACGATATTTGAATCTAAAAGATTTAATTTTTCGAAATGGGGTTAAAATTAGGGTCAGTGTAAGGATTAAAGGTCCGGAGAATCTGAGAAACAAAAACCTGATGTTGTGTTCACGCTGGTTTGTCAGGTTTATTAGCAGCTGTAAAGATCAGACGCCGTCTCCCTTTGACGACAACGGTGCAGGTGAAAATGAATGTTTTTTTTCTAATTAGCGTCTTGGTTTTTTTTTTTCTGTGAAGAACTGAGGAACTAAGGCGCGCCTCGGTCCTCCTGCCATCGCCCCCTGCAGGAGTGATGGCAGGAGGACCCTAAAACTCTTTACAGCGGGAACAGACGAGACACAAATGACAAGGTGTCAATTAGTATCTGCTCCTGGGTCCGCCGCCCCGCCTCCGGTCCCGACCTCTCCTCCGACCACGCAAATCAGAGCGAGAGCCCGTCAACGCGGCGCTGGAGTTGATATGAAAACAACAACACTTAAAATACATGAAGCAAAACACAGGAGGGTTACTGCCTCCCCATCACTCCGGCAGGACGCCTTTATTCCTCCCCACTGTGTCATCAGTTTATTTCAAAGCAAGCAGAGACTGATAACTACGCTCCAATCATTCTCCTCAGCTATCTTTATGCCCCCGCTGTTATGATGTTTTATGGCGCTGCCATAAAAAAATAAAAAATCTTTTATTCCAGAAAAAGAAAATATAACTTCATTTGTAGATGTTGTTTTCTTCACCGAACACCAGGAAAGGAACACGCCGGCGTCAATATTGGAGATATCCCTAGAACAGACGTGGTGAAGTGTCCTTCACGGAGAGCAGTAATCCATCCGTCATCCCTCGCTCCCACCATCACTCAGCCTTCATCCACTAACGTGTCAGGGTTTTTTTTTCTTTTTCTTTTTTTTCCGGAATGTTCTTCGCAAGCCTCCCTCCCGCCTTTCTTTGCGTCGACATCTGGGGGATTGGTCGGTCCCTCGTTGCGAGAGGTGATGGGTACAGCAGGATGAGCGTGATAATCTACCGCACCGGATTACAGCCTAATCTCTAATCTCTACGGCCCTCCTCTGCCCGGGGACCACCTTTACCGTGCCAGTTTTATTAATCCGAGTCCCAGCAGCGCCGGCTTAGCCGTCCGCCGTTTGATTTAACAGCTCTCATCAAAGCAGTTGAAACAATAGATTGTTGTGATGCAACACTTGGACGTGAGCGCCGCTGACCCCCGGCGCGCTCCGCCCGAGGATTTAACAAACGATGAGTGTTGATCCACGGAATGTGAGGATTCATCAGGAACGGCTGCTTCAGGGATGTCCCACGTTGGTGAAACTGCAGCACGTTGCAGTTTGGTTCTGTGTAAATGCTGAACATGGACTCCGAGCGAGAGCGGCCGCCGTAATATCCATCAGAGTCGGCCTAAGTGTGAAGGTCGCCGCGTCCTGCCTGACTCAGTGACCTGGAACACTCACAATTAATGTTCCGTATCACGGGGGTTAAATTGGTGCTGATGATTCCACGGGCTACTTCAGAGACAGCTGAGTGGAGGCGGGCTGTCGTGGTCACGTACGCGCAAAGACGGAACATGATCAGCCAATTATCTCGCCTTTCTAATGAACCAGTAATTGGTTCCAGGCCGAGGCCTCGCGCACCATCGCAAGTCTTGTAGTGATTTCTCTGGTTTCATACCTGTGAATTCACCGTCCATTTACAAAAATAATAAGCGTTTGGGAACATGTCCGATCTTTGGGGGATTTTAACGGAATAATTTCTTGCCGAAGCCCGTGACGGTTGGTCACAATATATTTTGGGGTTGTAGGAAAATATTGATACGCTGAAATATCGCAATATCTCCTCTCCTGATCCCGTATCAATCTCCTCCTGCATCAGTTATTGATTGTTTTCTCACCAATTCCCAGTCCAATATTCCTGGTGTTGGTTTATTTTCTTTTTCTTTTCTTTCTCCTCTAGTGATTCCAAATGTAGATCCCTCTGTTCCAGAGTTAGGAAC